CATTCTCAGAGATGCTATTCCTTCAGATGTTAAACCGAGGTCCCCTCTGCCTGTTCAGGTGGATGTTAAAGATTCCACGACACTTTCCAGTGAATCCTTTGAGACGTTTCAGACATGATAAGGTGCTATATCAAATGCAAGGTTAGTATTTATTTATTTACCAATACCCTCTACCTTGTTGACATTCATATATGTTCAGCTCCAACCTCCTCATCCTCGTTGAGTAGCACTATAAGTATGTTCAGTGCAATTTGAGAATAATAAAAGGCGACAGAGGGTGATTAATGATAAACAATGACAACAGAAGATAATTGTCCTTTTTTGTACCAGTGTGCATTAATCGTGGGAGAGTCGAGGTGTGCTTGGGATTGTGGAGTCCTGTAACTCAGAGGTTAGAGCACTCGCCTCACAAGCGAGAGTCCTGGGTTTGATTCCCAACAAGGTGAAACTATAGGCAAGTTTCCTTACTCCACATGCTTGATAATAATTCCTCCAGAAAAAAAAAAAAAAATCGGTCATTTCAATCCACGACTGCTTGTGGGACACTGCTGTGCGCAATTGGCTGTTGTGTTTCACCTACAAATATACAGTTAATTCACTTTACAGTCTATTCTGTGAAGCGCTTTGAGACAGCTAGAAGATGTGAAAGCACTATATCAAATGCAAGAATTATATTATATAGTTTTATATTGCCCATAGGTGTGGATAACTTCTTATGACATGTTTCAGACTGCATATCATATGGAAAGTCTCAAACTTTATTCCATATCACAAGATTGGCTTGGATGAAGAAGGCCATTTGGCCTATCTAATCTCATTCCATCAGAACACTTACTGCCAGCCCCCTCTCACAGCATCAAGCTGCTTTTAAATGTGCGCAGTGACCTGGCCTCAACCGACTTTCCTGCTAACCTGCTTTAGTTATTTCCTCTGTGCAAAAAGAAAAACGTCCTGGTATCTATCCCCAAACTGACCTTTACAACTCTAAACCTATGCTCTCTTTTGCTGTGGTATTGGCGCATGCAGTTGTTAATCAATTGGTGGATTGCTCCAAAAAAAAGAATTGTTCACTCAATCCACGATGGTTTGTGGGACACTGTTGTGAGCAACTGGCTGCTGCATTTCACCCACAAAATACAGTCAGTTCACTTTCCAATATATTCTGTGAAGTGCTTTGAGACGTCTCAAAGATGTGATAAGGCGCTATATCAAATGCAAGGATTATTATCATACAAAATGTGTGCATTACAAGTGTTTCCCTTCCTCATTTTTTCAGTGTGTGCATGTCAACAAGCAAAAGGAACATTATCTAGAACCACACACATAAGCTCAGTTCATAGAAGCCATGGCATTTACCTTGTTCACTGACGTAACCTAGCACGAGCCTTGTAGCAAATCAGGTGGTGTGTATGGGAGGGGGCAAGGGGAAACTTCACAGGATAAACTGTAAAGTGGATTGACATGAAAAACAAAGGGATATATTTCCATTGGTCTTCAACCGTGCCTTCAGCTCCCCTCTCGACTCTCTACCCCCTCCTCGCTCCCTCCCTTCCCTCCCCTCACCCTGACCATTTCCCCCTGCTCGGGTCCCGATCCAACTGTCCAGCGCCTTGGGACGTCCTCCCGACGTGAAAGGCGCTCTATAAATGCAATCTTGTTATTGTTGTTGTTTAGGATAATTAGCAAAGGAGCAAAGTGGGGAGATTAAGGGATTTTTTTGTTTTTGTTTGTTTTACAGAATTGTTATGAATGTGGAATGCCTTGCCGGGTGTAACAGTCAAGGCAGGATCCATATTCATTTGTAATCTATCTGCTAGGGATCTTACAGCCCTATGGCCTTCATATTGATTTCAACAATTTCAGACCATAGCAGCTCACCTTGCCCCTCTTGTGACCATTACCACATCATCTGGGTCCCAAACACACCTTTTCTCTGTCTGGTCTGCCTATTTTGTTGCAATTTCCACCACCAACTCCCCACTTGTTTTGCATTATTAACACCTCTTTTATCCTATTTTGTTGCAATGCCCTCCTTTGTTTTGCATCATTAACACCTCTTTAACCCATCATCTCCTGTCCTCTACCCCATTTTCTCCTTGGTCTTCCTTGCCCTGCCTCCCAGCTCTGTTTGCCTTAAAAGCCTCTCCCTCCCAACATGCCCCAGTTCTGACAAAAGGTCGTGGACCTGAAATCTTGACTCACTTTCCTTTCTCCACAGATGCTGCCTGATGCTGTGTTCCCAGTGACTTTGTAAAAATATAGTCAATTCACTTTACAGTATATTCTGTGAAGCGCTTTGAGATGTCTCAAAGACACAATAAGACAAATGCAAGGATTATTCTTATTCTTATAGATATAATAGACTGCATGATCTTCTGTGCACTAAATTTCTATGGTTCAAATACAATCTTTTTGGAGTTTTTTTTTATTAAAAACTGTTCACCAATTGTATCCAAAGCAAGTGTTGTTTTCAATTTCCTGATACACTTTTATTGCTGTCATTATTTTTAACATCAAGCTACAATTATTACCCATGACTGGTTTATTGAATTGCTTTTGACATAGCAATCACAACTGTCAAGGAGTCCCGTAATGAAGTAGTTAGCGCACTTGCCTCACAAATGAGAGGACCTGGGTTAAATTCCCGGGCCTAGGCAAGTTTACTCCGTATAGCTCTGTTTAGCTTAGTAGTAAGTAGGGATCCGGTTGTTAGTTGATTGGCCGATCGCTTTTCAGGAGTACAATTCCCAAAATTGGATCATTCAATCCACGAATGTTTGTGGTACACTGGCGTATGCAAATGGCTCCTAAAATAGGTAATCCACCTCACATTATATTCTGTGACGTCTTAACTACATGATAAGGTGCTATATCAAATGCAAGGATTAACATTATTATTGGTGGCCATGCCTTCAATCACCATGCCCCAAACCTCTAGAAATCCTTACCTCAATTCCTCTGCTTTGCCTGTCTTCCGATTACACCTGAAAATATTCCTCTTTGACTGTGCATATTGTTACCTTCCTTTTCTCTCTAGCTCGACATTAAACTATGCCATTGTTAAGCACTCCAAGCTTAACCTGTGTGAAGGACACCGTATAAATGCAAGTTGTGTACTGTTTCGACAGACCTGTCAAGAAGTGGGTCACCTCTTTGTTCTCCCCTCACTGTTTTCCCTAACCTAGTTTATGTCTGGCAATCTTAACATACCATACAATTTGGTGGTCTTCAAACCTCAAAGGATTATTCAATTAATGGGGAAATGACTGGCTTTTGAAGGTTAAACTTTTATTTCAAGAGGAGACCTCAACATTTGTCATATAGTTTTTGAATCTAGAACAAATTTATAAACGTACCAATCTTGTTCACACCTTTGTGTGAGGAAAACTCCAGAGATTGTAAAACAATGGTCTTCCAAAGATTTGCAATCTTTTGGTCTTCCAGTTTTTTTATTTTATATGTGAATAGTGGCCAAGTTTTTTTTTTCATTTGTCACAGTGCCAAAGCAGCCACCATTACAATTACAAAATGTCAACCTGGCTCTGTCAGAAGCAGTCTCGCCTCAGTCTGAAAATTATGGATTCAAGTCCAACATCAGAATTTGAGCACATTTCCTATGCTGGCACTCTAGTGCAGTGCTGGGAGTGGAGGAGCATTGCGTTGTCATAAATATGCTTTGTATGAGACAGTAAGCATCAGTCCTGTTTGTCTATTCTGGTAAATGTTAAAGATTCCATGGCACGACTGACAAAGAAAAGGGAGTTGCTCCTGATGATCGGGCCAACAATCCAGATAAAATAGGTCATTCAGGGTTCCGAGATGCTACCCTGCATGAAGGGTCTTGTATAAATGCGAGTTGCTGTCATGCATGTCATGGGTATTGTGGGACATACATTGGTGTGCACAAATTGGCTGTCACATTCAATGTCATTCTATAGTAAATCCTGCAAAGCACGTTAAGACATTTCAATGACGTGACGGAATCCAATATCAAATGTAAGGGTTATTATACTACAGAATACTGCACTACTGTAGTTCATGCACATAGAGCCCTCTGCAGGGCTTCCCTGGTACAAATAAATTCAAACATTAGAAATCAGGAAACCTGCAACATCAGTACCCCCACCAAGTGATGTAACATAGTCTTAATAAACCAGGAATAGTCCCAAACACAACCCCTGCTCTAAGCTCGGATTTCAGATAAGACAGCACCATACTGATTGCACCATTTTTAGATGAAGGAAATTTTGGGCAGAGGCCAAGTCTAGCTATCCAAAAAATGGAAGCACATAATAATAATCCTTGCATTTGATATAGTGCTTTTCACATCTTCTAGATGTCTCAAAGCGCTTCACAGAAGACTGTAAAGTGAATTGACTGTATATTTGTGGGCGAAATGCAGCAGCCAATTGCCCACAAACAGCTGTGGATTGAAATGACCAATTTATTATTTTTAGGGGATTATCAGGCTTTTTAATAAGAGACAATAATAAATAATAATAAATAATACATACAATGGATCCTGGGTCAGCATAAAGCTAGGGTATCACTTTACACATGAACTTTTGTTTTTCGGTAAGCCAGGTAGAAATTAATTATTGCATTTAAGAGCATCTAAACAAAACTACAGTACTGAATTCCATATACATGGAAATCTCCCTTTACCTGGAATGGGTAAAATCAGTCTTCCTGTTTTCATTTGCTATCTAATGATCACTGCTGAAATTACGCACATGTTGATTTTGGCCTCAGACATGGTTTACTTTTACAATAATGTTCACAGTAATCAATCGTCTGATGAAAATCAGTGTCTGGGCTTAAACATGAAGAATCACTCTTTGTAATGTCAATGTAATAGAGATTGTCCAACCCCCATGGAATTCTTTATCAACTTTGAGGGGGAAACATTCTAGTGTGTAAAAAAAAGTGATCTGCAGGCAGTGTAAGGAATACTGAAATGTTGAATGATCAAAGATTTCACTAAGAGACACACTGTTTCAGTCTTTATTTTTTCAGAATATGTTACATTCCTAAGGGCATTAGCTGTACAGTATACAATCAGGAATTTTTCAAATGAAAATGAGGTAGAGCCACTCTATAAAAATACCTAATGTCTATTAAAGTATTTTTTAAAAAACGATTTTCACTAATTATTTTTTGGCAGTGAAAGTCAATTGTTAAAAATCGATTTTTCTTCTAAATTTAATTTCTAAATCATGAACTCACCAATTTTCTTTAGTATCCACACTCTGAAACTGCCCTTATTGCAATGCCCACTAGTGTATTGACTGAACCAGCTTTTTGTGAATATTGCCAGAAACAGCCACTCAATGTGCTCCTTAACAGTCAATCTCAATTTTCAGCAAATTTATTCCCTTGATTTTTTTCCTGCTTTTTGACTAAACAGACCCCAAAACACCCTGAAAAATACCTAAGTTTTTATTTTATTTATTGTATTTATTTTAATGCTCCCTAAAAGTATTCCATCTACAAAAACTTTGGATTTATTCTACAATGGTTAAACTCCATTTCAGATTTTGAAACCAAAGAATGGCAATGGTTACTATAGCTCAAATTCCATTTTTGCCTTTCTGATGCTGATCAACTTGTTATCCAAGATATTGCAACAAGCAGACCTTATACACATCCACTCAGCAGCAAACCCAATTCACTGGCCATATTTCTCAGTGATAAGGATTTTAAAAAAGGCTGGATTTTACTACATCATCAACACTGCTCTGGTCACTTTTTCATGACATGAATACAATTTGCAGCACCCTCACTTAATAGCAGTGCACAACACTAGAGTTGTAGTGTGTGAATACAAGTTGGGGGGAGTGAGTAATGCAGTGGCAAAGGCATTAAGAAAATACCATCAACATGTCTAATCTGTAGATGCAACAGATTCAGAGTGCTGCCTTCACTACTTTGCAGTGGCAGAAAATTGGCACCTTTGCTACTCATCAGCATGAATGTGTAGTAAACACACATATCTGAATCACCGACTCTGCTGGTACATGACTTGCTTGTAGCAAACTTTAATATCTGCACACCTGAGGATGAATCAACTCCTCTAATTTTTTGCATTGCTTTAAAGTTCAAGCCATTTCTTCCCAACGTGAAGGTGAATCAAAAACACATATTGATTAGCTGATGACATGAAAGGGGGCTTCACAACACAGAAGAGAATCTTTTCTGGTAAGTGGAGGGAAAACGGTGCTGCATTTTGCACTAAGAAGGACTAATAGTGTCCAATCATCTGCATAGTGATCTGTAAAAACTAATACCATGAACATCCACCAGATGATCAAATACCACTAACATCCACCAGATCTGCCCACCATATTCTCTATCGAATAGACTAGTGCCAGCTAGTGGCTAGTCCAGCAACATTTTATTTTCATTATGGCAAAAATGTAAGGATATTGGATACATTTTTTTAAAAATTCTATACATTTTCAGGTAAAGCACTTTTGTGAGCTTTCTCACCAATGTATGGCTCTCTGTACAGCACTGCATTGTGATCTCATTAAAATACTTTGATCGGTCTCTGGCGTTAAAGTTTGAAAGTTGTCTTTGACTGGAGACATTGGTTCAGGTTTCTGGAAAGGCAGAAGCTTCTCAGTTTCCCTGTAGAGAGGAAAACAAAATATTATTAAATGAAACTCTGAAGTGAATATGCAACTCTCCCACCTGAACTGCAGTACGTGCCTTAGCAAGGCATGAATATTATTTCTACAATGCATCAATTACTCGGCATAATGTTCAGCAAAATACGTTTTTCCTGAAAATTTAAGTGTTTCAGAACATGTCCTTGGTACCAGTGTCAATTACTTGGCACCAGAAACACTTGTTGCTAGCAATGAGTGCTGGAGCTGGTGGAAGCTGTGAAACCTTTGTTTTGCTGATTTTGACAATCTTTAATACAGGCAGAGGATACAAGTCATAATAGCAATTATTTTATAGACTTTCAGAGCCCAAGAGAATGCTGGGATAGTCTTGCAGGCACCAGTTCTTGCAGCAGTGATTGAAACACATAGAATGGATCACATATTAAACATATACCGGGGCACGGCGATTAGATACAAATCACATGACTGGGAGAACAACTGAAAAGCCTAATCGGGCCAGGCCAATACATTAGACAAGGATGCAACAGACGACAAATTGCCCTTGACTGGGTAACAAATCCCAAACCCAACAGAAGTACTTACATCTTAAAACCAAAATTCTTCCACAAATCACGGATTGTAACCTGTACTCTGGGATTATTCTCATCATTTGTGGCAGACTTATTCTTCTGTAGTCCTATGGATTTTTTGCTTAACCCGCTGGCTTTGGCTGATCCCATAGGCTTCAGTTTAGTGGATGATGTGGAAGATCTGCGGCTCAGTCTGCACAGTCCAGGAACCTAAACAAAATGCACTCTCTTTAATCTAGAACAGTATTACAACAGTCAAATCTATTTAATTTTCCAAATATGGCCTTATTAAAAAAAATTACACTGCAACAACAACATTCCAATTATAGAGCGCCTTTCACGTCGGGAGGACGTCCCAAGGAGCTGTACGGTTGGGTCAGGACCCGAGCAGGGGGGAAATGGTCAGGGTGAGGGGTGGGAAGGGAGGGAGCGAGGAGGGGGTAGAGTAGAGAGGGGAGCTGAAGGCACGGTCAAAGAGAAAGGTCTTGAGACCGGCCTTGAAGGAGGAAAGGGAGGAAGCAAGGCGAAGGCACTGGGGGACAGTACACGAGCTGCAGAGTTCTGAATGACCTGCAGCTTGTGGAGGGAGGTGCCGGGAAGGCCAACGAGGAGAGAGTTCCCATAGTCCAGCCTTGAGGTGACAAAGGCGTGGACCAGAGTTTCAGCCGCGTGAGGGGTGAGGTAGTGCTGTAGTCTGGCGACATTCTGGAGGTGATGGAAGGCAGTGCCAGTTGTGGCGCGGATATGAGGGAGAAAGGACAGCTCAGGGTCGAACAGAACACCGAGGTTCCTGACTGACTTTGAGAGGTGGAGAGTGCAGCTTTGGATGCTGATGTCAGCGCCTGAGGTGCGGAGGCACTGACGCGAACCAATCAGGAGGGCCTCAGTTTTACGCACGTTGAGCTGAAGAAAGTTGTCTCTCGTCCAGGACTCGATGTCAGACAGGCAGCTGTCAGGACATCGGTGGGCGTGGAGTTGAGGGTAGAGGAGGAAAGGTAGAGTTGGGTGTCATCTGCATACATGTGGAAGTTAACCCTATGTCTGCGGATGATGTCACCGAGGGGGAGCATATAGAGGGTGAAGAGGAGGGGACCGAGGATAGAGCCCTGAGGGACACCACACGAGAGAGTGCGGGGGGTGGAGGAAAAACCATTCGTGGAAATGAAGTGAAGACGGTGAGAGAGGTACGACCTAAACCACTCAAGGACAGGGCCTTGAAGGTTGAGGTGGGAGGACAAGCGGTGGAGGAGGATAGCGTGGTCGACCGTATCGAATGCTGCTGATAGGTCGAGGAGGACGAGGAGGCAGAGGGAGCCCTGGTCACAGATGGTCAGGATGTCATTGGCGACCTTGACCAGGGCAATTTCTGTGCTATGGGCTGCAGCCCAATGTTAGATGGTAAAACTGCATTATTCACTTCACATTATTTCGTGAGTTTCCCCCACAAAACAGTCAATCCACTTCGCAATAAACTCCGCGAAGCACTTTCAGACATTTCAACGACCCGATTAGGTGCTATATCTAATACAAGGATAATTATTAGAAAATTAAGTTTGTTCCCCTCCCTGTATTTAGAAAATTAAACCTGAATTTCATAAATTGATGAATTGTCTCTCTGTTCAGGTTTCCACCACAATAACAATAATAATCCTTGCATTTGATATAGCACTTTTCACATCTTCTAGACGTCTCAAAGGACGTCACAGAATATACTGTAAAGTGAATTGACTGTATATTTGTTTGCGAAATGTGGCAGCCAATTGCACACAACAGTGTCCCACAAACAGTTGTGGATTGAAGTGACCAATTTATTATTGTTTTTTTTCTTGAGGGATTATCAGGCGTGTAGGGTAAGGAAACTTACCCAAGATTTCGCCCTGCCGGGAATCGAACCTAGGATTCTTGCTTGCAAAGCAAGTTCTCTAACCACTGAGCTACAGGACTCCACTCAATATACTATTTAATGCACAACACAGAATTAGTTTCTGGCTAGGTACACTTGTAGGAGACGTGTATCCATGTTTCAGAACTGATCATTCTGTGGGAGAAAAAAATGTAATACACTACCTTTCAATCTTCACACTATTGTTTTGGTGGTTGCGTCATTTTCAACAATACATGAATAGTTTTCTTGTCTCCAAATTTAACTTATCTATTAACTTACAGCATTGAGGTAAATTTAATAATGAGATCAGTAAAGTGGATCTAAAGTTCAGAAGAATCGCTAGCATACTTACCCTATTCCTTATAGTTTTAATTTTCTCTGGTAATTCTGATGCAGTTGTAGGACTGGTAGTCTGGCTATCATCTGACGTAGAATCATCATTATTTTCCTTTCAGGGAAAAAAAAATCACATAGGAGAGGATAAATGCAGCTATAAATATTAAAAATCTTACATTATATTTAATAAAAATCCCCAAAGCATCTTAGTGCACAACATTGTAATCCCGCACCAAACTCCGCCACCCCATCACCCCCACTCTCGCCCAACTCCATTGGGTCCCTATCCTTCATAGGATGCAGTTCAAGATCCTGGTCCTCACCTACAAAGCCCTCCATGGCCTCACCCCACCCTACCTCTGTGACCTCCTATCCCCCTACCAACCCACCCGCTCTCTCCGCACAGCTGGCTCTGGGCTGCTCCACGTTCCCCTGACCCACCCAACCCACCATTGGCGGGAGAGCCTTCAGCCACTCTGCCCCCAACCTCTAGAATTCCATTCCCCAATCACTCCGCCTCGTGACTCCTTAGCCTCCTTCAAGTCCCGCCTCAAAAACCTCCTCTTCGATCGTTACATTAGTCACTCCCCTAAAGGCACTATACAAATGTAATCTTGTTGTTGTAGTAAACATACATCCAAATCTGAACTCTTCCTGGACTTTTGAGAGGATCCTAAGGAATCCACACCACTGCACAAACTGCCTGAGGAGGTGCTTATCCCCACCAGGGATTGTGAGGCGTTTGTCATTTCACAGTCGTCCTCTTTGGATTCCTCAGAATGCTCCATTCTGTTTAGTTTGGATTGGTTATCACTTTGCACAATGACATGTGTTGCTTCTTGAGAGATGTTACTCCATTTATATTGAGTTGAGTCCATTTTTCTTTGGAACTGTTGCAGTATAGCTAGCCCACCAGTAGGACTGGGCATTCTACATTTCTGTCCAATATCTCCAGACCAATTGAAAGCACTAAAACTTTTCCTGGATGTGGAGGGAAATTCTGTCATAGCCACACTTGTATTCAGAATGTTGTTTATAGGTTCAGGGGGCTCTTCATTCTTCTCACATTCACTGTTGCTTGCAGGCGTTGCAAAAGCATCATCTGTGACCCTTCTGGATGGACTTATTGGGGTCAAGTCTTTGTTTCTAACTGAATCCATTTCATTAAATATCACCTTGACTTCATCTTGTTGATCAGATGCACAGATCTCTTCGGGGCTACAGAAGAACCTACAAAAAGGGGAATTTTTAAAAATTGTCTTAAAAAGTACCTTTCATTTTGGTTGACTATTTGCAACAAAGGTTAAACACGACATGTAGGAAATGCATCAAACATACTGTTTTTGTAAGGAATGGCAACTGTCCCAAACTTGTGTTAAGAATTTCAGAAAAATGTAATTTGTTGTTCAGATTTGCTCTTTTGACTGCATACTGGCATAATGAAACGTTTTTAAAAAATACTTTTACTTTTATATTTAAAAAATATATAGGAGGATTAAAATATTCAACACAAATAACGAGATGAGATGAAAGTATGTTTAATGTTGATAGGGGGAATGGAAGAAAAGCAGCAATTATCAAATGTTGTGCTTACTGATGTAAGGAGACCAGCAATAATGGAAAATGACTTCATGTTATGTGCAGCCTTTATACATTCCTAGTAAGATGGAGAAAAGCTCTATCTAGCCTGCCCCAAAACTGTACTTTTAGTTCCATGCTCAGAAAAGCACACCAACTGCTTAAGTGACATTTCCATTTTTCACATTAACCATTTTCTAGAGAAGGGAATTTCTCCTGACATCCTGGCCAAAAATCCTCCAATAAAATTCATTCACCACATGGCTGTTGTTGGACACTGCTGTGTGGGAGTTGGCTGCTTCTTTCACCCACAAAACAGTCACTCCACAGTAAATACTGCAAACCTCTTTGAGATGTCTTTCTGATGTGAAAGGTGCTATACCAAATGTAAGGAATATGAGATTAGTCATGCTGCGTGATCCAAGGTTGAAGTTTGGCCAATTTAATGGTGTGGATGACATTATTACTTACTAAATTATAAAGATTTTGTTAGCACCCATAGATCAGAGCCAAGGTTTCAGAGATAACAATGGATTACTACACCAAATCNTTTTTTCAATCCTGCATCTTTTTATTAATCCCTCTATTCTGTATCAACTTCTAGAACTTTATACAGTAGCTTTTAAAAATCACTAATTATCTTTGAAATGAGTAATACAGTTAGTTGAACAGAGAACCCATGGAGGTCAGGCAATGGGTCCCAATCAGTTTTAGACTGGCAGATTTGGAAGAAAATCTTCAGACTCAGATTTCAGGCACAACTATTTGAGAAATAATGAACAATATGAATAATTGGAGGAAAGTAACCATGTGATACATTAAGTTGAAAAACGTGGCCAGTTAATTTGTTTACTAGCTCACAGGGATATTCTCTCTCTCTCCCACCTCCGCCGTAATGGTTTAACCCAAAACTGCCCATGGGATAGTTGGTTGTGCTTCAATATAAAAATCTCAGTTGAATAAATGGTAAAGGTTGTTCCCGCCCCAACCACAAATGGGTTTGGGAATGACGAAGACCCTTTAGCCCACTTAAACATATTCCTCCAGAATACTAAACCTGTTGTCCTCCCATCACAGGGTCAAGCTGTTTATTTAAGAGTTGGGGGTGGGGGGGATGATAAAGAAAGCAAAAACAAATAGTACACAGGTGGCCAATCAATAAATTAAGACATTGGAATGTTTTAATTACTTTTCAGCCCTTGTGAAAAAAAACTTTTTCCTGTAGTTGTCATAGACTATAGATAATGACCATTGGCCAGCGAATATTGCCTCTTCTCAATATCTCTGTCGCCCTAAAAAAGTTTTAGACACAATGTCACTGTGTGGGTTGCACACTAGTTTTAATTGATTATAATTTTATAGTTGGATTTATGCCGACTCAAGGAATACGTTTACCAAGAAATCAAACAAGGCGTGAACTGTGAAATGAAACTTTGTATGTAAATCAACCCAAACTGCCTACAGGACATGTTTTCCGTCAACCTACCCATATACTAAAACAGCTTGCTCCATAGCTTGAAGATGCATTTAAAAAAGATGACAATTTTTGAGGACAAGATCACAGATGGGTTTGGGAATGACGAAAACCCTATAGCCCACTTAAAACATATCCCTCCAGAATACCAACCCTGTTGTCCTCCCATCACAGGGTCAAGCTGTTTTTTTAAAATTGTGAGCAACAGCAAAAGCAGGTTTCTGTCCTTTTAAATAAAAAGGTGTAATGTGCTCTTTGTTTTACTATAAATAACTTAAGAAAAGCAAAACCAGAACAAACTTTACCTGCTTCTGGTTCCAGGAACAACAACAGCACCTGCATCTTCATTTCTCCTCTTCAGTACAGTGGCAAAACGATTCCGGATTTTGCAAGAAGAAGTTTGACTTTTGTAATGGTTTTCGGATAATGAGATTCTCTCTCTTCAGTAGGGGATTGCTGAGGTAGGCAATTTGCAGCAGTTTCTTTAGTTTTTTTACTATTTGAGAAGGAGTATTGACTTAACAAGTCTCCATCTGATAGGAGTCATCTGATGGGAAAAATAAAATTATTAAAAACTCTTTTCAAAGAGTTATATACAATATTTACATTTGTATAGTGTCTTTCACATCGGCAAGATGTTCAGAGAACCTGAAGATCCAACCGCTGATGGTGGGGCGGGCCGGGGACGTGGAGCAGGCCGGGGCCTGCTAAGCGGAGGGAACAAAGAATTTGATAAGGGGTTAGCAGGTCACAAAGATAGGACTGGGATAGGCTGTGGAGGGCCTTGAAAATGAGGCCTTTTAACTCTATCCTCTGAGGGATGGGGAGGCAGTGGAGCTGGGTAAGGATGGGGGTGATGGGGTCATGGAGCTTGGTGCGGAAGAGGACACAAGCTACAGAGTTCTGGATGATCTGCAGCTTGTGGAGGGAAGAGTTGGGAAGGCCGACAAACAGGGAGTTGACGTAGTTGAGCCTAGATGTGATAAGAGCGTGAAAAGTTGCGAATGTGGGGGAAGGCAGAGTGGATCATGGCATAGATGTGGAGGAGAAAGGACAGTTGAGGGTCAAAATAAATGTCAAGATTCCTGACTGGCTCAGTGAGCTGGAGTGTGCATCCATGGATGGTGATGCTGCCAGTGCCTGAGGTGTGGAGGCGCTGACTGGATTTAAACAGGAGTTCCTTGGTCTTGTTGACATTCAATTGAAGAAAGTTAGCTCTCATCCAGGACTTAATGTTTGACAGTGGTCCTGGAGTCAAGGGTGGAGGCAGAGAGATAGAGTTGGGTGTCATCCGCATACATGTCTGCGGATGATGTCACCAAGAGAGAGCATGTACAAGTTGAAGAGGGATGCTAGAAGGCTGGAGATGTCAGAGGAAAGTGGGGGAGGATTTGAGGGCAAGATGGTAGAGGGCATTGTTTGCATTGAACTGCATTAGAGTGAGCCAGGAGTTATGGCTCAAGCTGCATTCCATTTTGAACTATTACTGCTACAGCAAATGTTATGATAGGCAGATTTAAACATTAAAACACTACAAATAATCAACCCTTTCTTCTTTTAAAAATATTTGAATTGCTTAGTCAGGCTTTGAGACACCCTCTCAACACGAAAGTCGCTGAATCAAATGTAAGATTATGATTATTATAATTGGAAGTCCAACTACATGATTTGCAAATTTTGAAGGCGATTTGTTTTAAACAAAAAATTACAGTAATTACTATGGCAAGACAGTTTTTTTTGTTACCTTCTCGAGGTCTTTTAGGGGTGCTGGAGAGCTTTAATCTTTTAATACTAATCACTTTTTCTATACCCCTAGTGCAGGGCTTTGCTGGCGATATTTCTGATTTTGGAACCAAAAGTTCATTTTCATTAGGCCTATAGTTTTTGCTCCATATACTATGCATATGTGGAGCTTGGAGCTTTCTGGTTGCTTGGTCATTCCATCCACGACTTTTTGCTGATTGAGGCTGGTTGAAAAAAAAAGAGAAATGTTTTAGCCCAGCAGCCTACAATATTAATAGAAAACAAAATTAAACATTTTTTTTATGCTGAATCAGTTTTAGTTAAAATAATAGAACTTCTTGAAATATAAAATCTAAAATTTTGCATAAGGCTTGTGAGCGAGTAAAAAAATAATTGTTCATGTGCAGGCGGGGTAACAATGTCTAAAAATTAAAGCATTCATTTACTTTGCAAACAGATCACACTAAAACTCACAGCAAGGCAATTAGCATCTGAATCAAAGGTCAATAATTTAAATAGGTCCTTTCATTATGCATGGTTTGATCAAGACACCCAATGAAAGTTCAGAGCAAAGCTGAAATGGTAAATATGGGTTCTAATATAAATGAAGACATTACTTAAAATGGACAACCTTCCATCCACACAGAATATTAAATATAGTAAATACTTAAAGGATTTTTTAGTTAGTTAAAAAAAATTAAGCCATTTGTACCTACAACTCATACATTACCTTACAAGTGTCTGGATTGTAAGAATCTATGGTTTCCATTGTATTAATATCTACATTTCCAAGAGCAATCTGAAGAGCTGTTTGGTCACCCATGTTACTGAAGTAACCAAGTTAAGGAACAGGATTTTCATTATTAAATATATTGCCTCTGAGAAACTCCTATGGATCACAATTCACCAACACTATTTCACCACAATAATGGTAGACACATGACAAGTTTGGAGAAGCAAATGGCACATTTTCCAAATTTGCAAAATAGCTCAATAGTGATTTTCTTGCCCAAACCCCAAAACATACAAAGAAGTGAATTAAATCAATGGGTAGAATAGTAGGATGCACTACAATTGCTGACTTTTATATAAATAAAGCTGTTGCTTTTAAAATCTGTATTATGTGGGTTATTGCACAAACAAAAATGCATACACTACATCTATCCAGTCATATCGTAAAGATAAATAATAAGGATGAACAATATCACTGTAAATACTCTCGCAGAATATGGTCTCTATAAATTAAGACTGTTTCATATATAGTCCAAACATCAGGCATTTTACTAGCACAGAATCTGCAAATCTGTCTAAACCGGATAGTCCATTTTTGAATAAACATTAATTTAGATGATCCTTACATTTCATATAACGCCTGATTGCATCATTGAGACATCTCAAATCACTTCACAGAATATATTGTAAAGTGGAATAAGTGTGCATTTTGTGGGCGAAATGGGGCAGCCAATTGAATTAGCTAATCTGATTATATTGACTTTCAATCTTGGCTGAAGCACAAGTAGTACTCACAGAAGAACAAAACTTGCGGTCACCCACGAAAGGCTGCAACACATTGAAAAACGTCATTCTAAAAACAAGTGTTCACTTCATTAGTGAAAGGCATCTGCGGCATAAGCTGTACACATCCCATTTCACAAATTGATTTTTCTAAAAGGTAGCAAAACATTTTTCCACCCATTGTTTCTTCAGTTTTCATTTCCATACATCAACTTAAAATATTAAGTTTAATTCGCCATGCAACATTCCTAGTCGAGAAGGCATCTTGTGTCAAGGCTATTGACTGAGGGTAGCCATGGATCAGACACTCTCAAGATTTGAAATTCCTGTAGCTGTAGAGAACAGCAACAAAATTTGCATTCATCAATTAAGCGCCACATCAGACTTTACATTTTACTCATCTCCTTTGCTCTTCGAGCCACCACTCTACACAAAAAAGCCTGACACAGATAGAACGTCTGGCTTGCTACATCCGCAAAAAGTTGTAAAGTTTTGTTGGTATAAGTGATTATGTTTGTTTCAGCTGACCAATGGATAAATGTGTAAGGATACTGTCCAGCATAGTCAAGTGACTTTGGATCAACGTCATCCAAGTAAGGATTTAAAGGAACAAGTTTCCGTTTTATTGGATCAACTACTAGTTGATACAGAAACGTATTATTTGCTCTTGTGAACCCCTCTATGTATTCTTCTGGTACAGTCATATTATTCTTCAGATAATGTCCCATTTTCTTTATTACCTGCAACAAAAAATAGAAAAAAAAATGAAAAGTGGAATTGGCAGGTCTATTGGATACGAAAAAGACTTCTTCAAATTGCTTAGACTTATAATATTACAATAAAATTGTAGTGTATGAAAACATAAAGGGAAACCTGAACATTTATTTTCACGTTCCTGCTGCTTGATTAGAAGATGGAGTTTTTGATGAAAAGACTAGTTTTAATAGGAGAAAGCATTCTCAATTAAAATACCTTAACCTTAATTAATCCATTCACCAGCACAGAAGTTTTCTTTCCGGTTTCTGATATTGTATTTCTATCTTTCCATCTGTGACCACAACGTTTTCAATAGCTACTGAAATTACACTATTCAAACCTCAGAAGGGTAGTAGGTAAAAGTGACTAGTATTTACCAGCTTCTAACATTGCTTGAGATAGTGAAAGAATCAGGAATATGAATTGAAAGAGATGATTTAGGTAATGCCATAGTATGACTAGAAGACAGAAATACACCAAGAAGCCAGAAAGGCTTTCATTCCTGAAGAATAGAAGATGCATGAAATATAAATTATGTCAAAAGTAGTGAATGTTAGGTAACCCAACTGCTTTATATTACTGGAAAGAACAAAGATGGAGAGAAACACGGATTTTGGAAACCAAGCACCAGTTCACATAAGATTGGAATTATTAGCACCACCAGTCAACTGATAACATCCATCAAAGCAAAACAGTTGCACCCAAAGGTAGAGTCCCCAATGAACTGAACTTAGGTACGGTCCCATCAGAAGAGGCTCAATGAAGCTACTGGTCTTTGCCTGTCCAATGCTTTCTATCCTAGCTTAATTCTACTAGTTAAGGTCAACATGCAGTCAATACCCTGGTCACATTTATTTATACACGTGCCTGAATCACCACTCCTGATAATTCGTCACAGAGCACTTTTAGCTTGGAGCGATGAGTTATCAGTTTATTGTGTATCAAAAATATTCTGCAGAAATGAATCTATTGAAAACACTGGCAGCAAAATGTAAAACATTTTTAAAAATTAGCACTTACCACTTGTTTGATATTACATACATCAATAAATGCACATACATAAAATTAGGTTTAAAATGACCTACTGTTATTATATCTGGATTGTTGGCAATCCTAAGCAATTTACATGCTTTGGCTAAACCTATTCCATGGAGAGATGCCAAGTAGTCACATCCTGATAGAATACACATATATCTGAATTTCTCTTCAGTGAAAACATCTCCCAGTTGTTTGCACTTGCCAAACTGAGCCTGATCAATCTCCAGCCCATTCCCGTACTTGTCCACTTTCAGTACGACCTAAAATAAATGAAATTATTCAAGTAACTTTACAAAATTCAATATCAAGATTTGCACCTCATTTGTATACTAATTCTATCTCTTCTCCATCCTCCTCCTAAGATATAAAAGCACAATGCAGAAAAAACATACTATTGGTCAGCTAAGGGATGGGAGTTCCGGAAAATTTAAAATATTTAGTGTTCCTAAATATAAGACTAAGAGAATTGTGTGGTATAGTAGATCAGGACAATACCCTTCCCATGTCCTAAATCTAGGTTCAAATCCAGTCCAGACTAATAGGATGAAGGTGTGTAAAAGTATCACTTTTAATGAGACTATGAAGATTTGTGTGGGAGGTAGAATTAACGTACCCATCTGGGAGAACTTGATGCGAATACTGGGTGACCAGGAAAAACATTCTCCCCATCAGAGATATCCTTAACTTTAATAAACACAACATTCATTCAGCTTTTATTCTTAAAAAATAATTATTTTGATGTTTGAGTCAATATAGATGCATAGTTTTACAATAGAAATCTTCCTGAGCGGAATCAACCCGTGGTAAATTTTCAACAATGATAAAGTGAAGACCATAACATCTCATTTCAAATATCAATATTTTGTTGAATTTAAACATACAAGACATAAATTGTTTCCACTGAAATTATTTGAGCTGTTTTGGGAGATGTACACTACTACTTCACCAGAGCAATAGAAGCAACAGATAATTTGAGAAATATTAGAGAATATTTTGCACAACAAGTACTACATCTCTTTTATTGAATGATGAATTGAACAGACACTGAGTCAAGTCATATTAGTACAATTTTCTGTGCACAACTCAAACTATTCATTTAGATCTTTGAAAGTAAATGGAAGAAATTATTGTAAAAGCAAAATTTCTCTTCTCTCCAATTTTTTTCAAGCTCAGCCTATAATTAATGTGCTTCTCAAAATAACATTTGATCCAATTTAGCTGGGATTAGTTAATGTGATTAAATTACATTATTGTGCAACATGCTGAATCTGTGCTTAAAATTTAAGTTATTGTAATTTCCTAACAAATTATATATCTAAATATTCGTTTGCTTCAAGTGTTGCTCATTGGCAATAAAAATACTGTTTATATGTTGTTGATACCTTTTTACATCCAAATGCCAGGAGATCTGAATCCTCTGTGATTACTGCTTGAACTATGCCAGTCTTGTTAAAGTAAGCTAGTTGAGCATCTGCTTCATAGGGTGCAACAATGCAATCCATTCCCTTTTTTCTTGCAGCCTGAAGGGATTACAAAAAACATTCTCATAGTCAGTACAAGCCTTTTTTTTTAAATATAAGAGCTGTACATCTTTTGCCCTCACTATTGTTCTCCTTGCACCATTCGCAACTAAAAGTAATCCCTCACAAAAGTTGCTCAGACACCAATCACCAAGAAGGTGAGCAACAGCTCTGGGAGAACTTCTATTTCTCACAGTGAAGAAAGACTTGGCCTTTATTTGACGATAATAGCTAACACTGCTAGTTCAGCATGTGGCAGATTTATTTTTTGGTCAGAATGAGAGTGTCTAACGCATACAGAAACACATCATGATGTTTAAAAGTATAAATCAGAGTTCTACATGTGTTTCCTACCTATACATGGAAATCTCCTTGTATTTGAAATGAGCACGCTGCTTGCTCAATTCCAGAGAGCATTCAGTGAGATCATGAGATTGGTGAGATCGAAGGCTTGGGGACCCCATTGGGCATTGCCCTTGAGTATTACTGGAGTTCAACCAGTTAAAAGGGCTTGGCTTGCTATTGAGAGCAACATCTGCCAAGCTTCCCAAACATTTATCCAGGAGCTAAGTTGGATGAATCCTTGCAACAACTGTTCTGCCCTTCAAAGTCCTACCATCAAGCCATTTCTCTTTTTGAAAAATGCCATGGGATCTTTACCTGAACAAGCAGACATGGTATTGGTATAACACCACATCTGAAAGATAATGCCTCTGACAGTGTTCTTCCAACACTGTATTGCAGTGTCAGTCTAGATTATGAGCTAAAAATCCCGAGATAGGGCTTGAACTCACAACTTTTTGACTTAGAGGCAAAAGTCCTGCCAACTAATAATTTAGTTATAAAAATGTAAAAAGTGCTGAAAAATCACATGCTTTTATAACTTCATGAGCCATTGCAGGGGTAATGTTGACACAGCGGGTGAAACACTCTCTGGCTTCCGCTGTCTTCCCCTCACGAAGGAGCTGCTTCCCTTTTTGAAAGTTTGCTTGCCTACGCCTGCAATGCAGAAAACCACCAAAGTTTATAAACCACAAGTATCAACAGGCAGATAAAAGACACAGACTTGTGCAATGGCCTATAATGAAAGAAATCTGCTGCTAGAGCAAAATACCAAGGATAAGCAAACTGCACGCCTAGAACTAAAACTTTAAATTAGACTTCCTGCTTAAAACCTAGTTCTTCAGAGCACTACAAAACATGCAGCATACTAAATTGTTAATTGCACACATTAGTAATAATTATGAAATAAAATTAATAAAAACTGACATGATCTTATTCCTTATTCAAGTTGAAAGGTGCTATACAAATGTAATTTTGTATTTATTGTGGAGTCCTGTAGCTCAGTGCTTAGAGCACTTGCATCGCAAGACATGGGTTTGATTCCCAGCAGGGCAAAACCTTGAACACGTTTCCTTACTCCACACGCCTGTTTACCTAGCGGTAAATAGGAACCCGCTTGTTAGTCAATTGGTAGATCTCTTTTTCGAGAGTAATAATTCCTTCTCCAAAAGATAATAATAATTTGATTACTCAAGCCACGGCTATTTGTGGACACTGCTGTGCGCAATTGGCTGCCACATTTCCCCACAAAATATACAGTTAATTCACTTTACAGTATATTAAGTGAAACGCTTTGAGACGCCTAGAAGGTGCTATATCAAATGCAAGGATTATTATTATTATACTTTTAGTGAGCCCCTGGCAGTTTCCTCATTAACCTCTGCCCAAATACATACAATGGACAAGTTATAAACATTAACCTTTAAAACAACTACAGGAAATAATAAGGTTACTTACTCTCGGCGAGATTTTTCCACCTCTTTTTTAGAAGGTAAATGGCATCCATCAAAAACTAGTATTGGTTTGACACCAAACGAGTCCAACATTTCAACAAATTTCATACAGTAATACACATATCTGAAATTAGAGATGCACATTAATCTTCATATTTAAACACTCAGTGAATATTTAAAGATTTGTAGTTCTGGGCTTGGACATCTCCAAAGCATGCGATGGTATCTATATGTTATTATGTAGTAATGGTTCATTGTGGTTTACACATCTATAAAGAAAATGACTGCTGCAGCAAGCTTCTTCTCCCTCCTCCCCCAAATACTTGCTGAAGTTGCTAGCCATTTGAATGACTAAAGAAAATTCATGAGAAGTGGCCACCGCTATGAGATGGTGGGACATTGTTTTCCACATATCATCATGTTAGGTCTCATTTGCACGAGCTATGAAAAAGAAATACAAGATATTGTTCCTCTGGTGCTGTCAGACACCCATCTGGTAGTTTATTTTTTACAGCTCTGGGGTATGTTTCTGAGCACCGGCCTCTCCATCTGGAGTGGCGATACAAAAGACTGCGTACATTAGCCAGAAATGTTCCTTGTGCAGAAAAGTTCAACGTAAGACGTGCGGTATTATTCTAGAAATCAATTTCTGAATCAAAAAGTAAATTTTCGCTGACATTTCATCCCCAAAAGAAAGTAAGGCCACCTGCATCAAGATCATGCGTGCACAGTATTAGTGTATGCATGCAATATATCATTATTTTATATTACAGGGGGAAAAAAAAGAGTCTTACTGCTCGGTTTTTTCTCCTTTTGCTAATTTGTCAGCACATGCAAAAGCTCCTTTGTGAAGCCAGCAATACATGTCCACGGCCACTGTCTGGCCTCTGTATTTCTTGATGTGGATCGGCTCTGAGGCTTCCTTGACAAACGACAACAATCCTTGAATCCCCATGGTTTACCTGTGCTCCTGCGGACAGGGAGACAGGGAGAGAGGGAGGGAGACAGGGAGAGAGGGAGGAAGGGAGGGAGAGAGGGAGGGAGGGAGGGAGGGAGACAGGGAGAGAGGGAGAGGGAGACAGGGAGGGAGAGAGAGGGAGACAGGGAGGGAGAGAGAGGGAGAGAGGGAGGGAGATAGGGAGACAGGGAGAGGGAGACAGGGAGACAGGGAGGGAGATAGGGAGACAGGGAGGGAGGACGACAGGGAGAGAGGGAGGGAGACAGGGAGGGAGGGAGACAGGGAGAGAGGGAGACAGGGAGGGAGGGAGACAGGGGAGACAGGGGAGGGAGACAGGGAGGGAGACAGGGAGACAGGGGGAGGGGAGACAGGGAGGGAGGGAGACAGGGAGGGAGACAGGGAGGGAGACAGGGAGGGAGATAGGGAGACAGGGAGGGAGACAGGGAGGGAGACAGGGAGGGAGACAGGGAGGGAGACAGGGAGGGAGACAGGGAGGGAGACAGGGAGGGAGACAGGGAGGGAGATAGGGAGACAGGGAGGGAGATAGGGAGACAGGGAGGGAGATAGGGAGACAGGGAGGGAGATAGGGAGACAGGGAGGGAGATAGGGAGACAGGGAGGGAGAGGGAGACAGGGAGGGAGAGGGAGACAGGGAGGGAGATAGGGAGACAGGGAGGGAGAGAGAGGGAGACAGGGAGGGAGAGAGAGAGGGAGAGAGGGAGGGAGACAGGGAGGGAGATAGGAGACAGGGAGGGAGGGAGGGAGACAGGGAGACAGGGAGGGAGGGAGACAGGGAGAGGGAGGGAGACAGGGAGAGATAGGGAGACAGGGAGGGAGATAGGGAGACAGGGAGGGAGATAGGGAGACAGGGAGGGAGATAGGGAGACAGGGAGGGAGATAGGGAGACAGGAAGGGAGAGGGAGGGCGACAGGGAGAGAGGGAGGGAGGGAGACAGGGAGAGAGGGAGGGAGGGAGAGAGAGGGAGGGAGACAGGGAGGGAGAGGGAGGGCGACAGGGAGAGAGGGAGGGAGGGAGAGAGGGAGGGAGATAGGGAGAGAGGGAGAGAGATAGGGAGACAGGGAGAGAGGGAGGGAGATAGGGAGACAGGGAGAGGAGGACGACAGGAGAAGAGGAGGGAACAGGAGGAGGGAGACAGGGAGAGGAGGAGGGAGGGAGACAGGGAGAGATAGGAGACAGGGAGGGAGAATAGGGAGACAGGGAGGGAATAGGGAGACAGGGAGGGAGACAGGGAGAGAGACAGGTAGACAGGGAGACAGGAGGGAGAGAGGGGAGAGATAGGGAGACAGGAGATGAAAG